TATGGAGTGATAAAACTAAGATATCGTTATTCGGTAGTTATGGGCGAAAATATGCAAGACGTAGAATAGGAAAAGAGCATTCAAGCAACTGTGAAGAAACCAGTTAGTGTTATGATTTGGTCACGCATGTCAGCAGATGGTATTGATCACCTTCACGTCATCGATGGGACACTGAATGCCAGAAAATACATTGACACTATTGTAGAACCAAAACTTCTACCTTCCATCAGAGATCTATTTACCAACAATGCTTCATTTATTTTTCAGCAGGATTCTGCTCCTCGCCACACAGCCAAAATATTGAAAGAGTGGTTTCGTACAAAGAGCATTAAATTTGTTGTCATGGCCAGGAAACAGTCCTGACCTCAATCCTATCGAAAATTTGTGGCACCATTTGAAAACTCTTGTCCGAATGAGGCGCCAATAAAACAAAAGAGAACTAATTGAGGCTTTAATCATTTCCTGGCATCATGTAATAAGGAAAGAAGAGCTTAAAACTCTTGACAGCTCAATGAAACGTCTGACAGTAGGTCCTCACTGCAATCATCACTCTCTAATCTATATCAATAACTATTACCATTTAACTTTTTTTGTATTGAAAATAATTGAATTTTGTGATTTGTATTGAATTCAGTAATAAATTCTCTTTAAAATGATATATACAAGTTTGCATTTTGTGAAACATAACATTTTCTATTAGCATACAAAGTTCAAAAACATAAAAATTTCCAAGTGTCCACAATTTTGGCCACCACTGTATATGTATACCATCGTTCTACTACAGGTACTTTAACAGAAAATCGTACTTTTTCTAAAATGGCAAGCCAATATTTTTTTCCATATTTAGGTTCTGATGCAGTGGGCAAGTGGTGTAGCACCAGGGTACCTGGGTCAAGGAGGTACCTGGTACCTGGGTCACCAGGGTACCCCTCGTAAAACAGCTGTTATTTCGAATACTGTCATGAGTAACTAGTGTATAAAATTTTTATACATATAATTAAATCATGTTTAAGATTTTTTAAAATTATAAGAATAGTTATAAGATGAGAGATAAATTTCTAAAAAAGACTTAAGTGTGCGTCAAGTTTCAGTATCTGGGAAAGCCAAGAAAGGAGGAATGAGCTAGCTATAGCCTGAAAAAACATTCATATAAAAATTAGGCAAAGCAGTGCGAGTCTTTTGGTGCAAGTAATTAATATTATTATTAATAGGTTATTAATAATTAAATCTATAACACAATATTAAGAGGTACATATTAGATGAAATATGTTATACAATATGGATAAAAAGTATGACCATAGGCCGTTTACTATTTTTTTGGTCATTAAAGTTGTAATCGTAAATCCTTATAACTGGGTTGTTGATATTAACAAGATTGGCATGAAAGTTCCAGCCGGCAGTAAAAACACTTAAGTTCTATACCCAATTCTTTGTGTAACTTTAGATTTCAATTCTACGACTCAAATTTTGCCAAACTGCTAAATTTTGTAAAAGTCGCACAAGTAGTTTTTAAAAAAATAGCTCCTCATTATTAATTGAATTTAATATATATTTCTTAATATCTCTTTTTATTAAGCTTATTAGATTCTTTCACGTTTCGAAATTTAGGTTCATTCCAAATAAAATTCAACATTTTAAAAATTTCTCGAAAACAATTTTGAATTATAACCTATAAAATTTCTACCATTATCTTAAAGTAGATGTAATTCTAAGCATACCTGCATAAAATTAGAGTTTCTATTCAAAATTTCCTAAGGTACACGTGAATTTACATATTGGCATGTTTTGAAATTTGGCATATATGCAATAACCGATAATAATGCCAAATGTAGTTTACACCCTCAGTTAAAATTATTTGAATATATAAACAATGCCTTAATACCACTCGTGTACAATGAAGAAAAGGAAAATAGGTTGCTATAAATTAAAAAGTTCGCCAAGTGAATCATTCTTGGCGCAAACTGAAAAATTCGCAGATATAAATTTTTAAATTTCTCACCAAAAATTACAATATTTAATACCTGAGTATAACTTGAGTCGTATAATCGAAATATGGAAAAATGGTATTTCACTTCAGAAAAAAAGTCCACTTTTTGTATCAAGATACTTATATTAGAACAATGCTACATAAAAATCTAATATAGAGTCAAGTCTTTCATCTGGACCTCAAAGCTACAAACCTTCTGCACATGCCACCTTTACGCATGCGCATTTAATGTACAATGGACGGTATAAGCTAAAATTATCTATTTCAGTTAATGTTGCAGATTGCATTGTTCCTTAATCTTCTAATTGGATCCCTCTTATTTTTTGCAGACTGTTAGAGCAATTTCATAAAAAGTAAGCTTGAACTTTCGAATATGTCAAAAAGAGTTTCCTATTCTGGAGCTGCCAGATCTACTAAGCGTAAGCATACTTCGATGTCCATCAAACAAAAATGAAATTGCTGCAAAAAATAATTAAATACTATAGTAGTATTGATTATGATACAGATATTTGCAGTTTAACCATGATTTAAAGCTAATTATGGATAATTTTTCAGCCCAAAAGTGTTATTAGTCTCGAAACATGATTTTTTTTTTTTTTTCAATTGAATTTGTTGCCATTTAGCAAAATACAAGATATATATCTTCTAAACTATTTAAAAGCCAAAGATGGATGGAGTTTTTGAATTTTTTAAAACTTTTAAATCTGATTTAAATTAAAAAAAAGTATTTAAGACAAACATAATTAAAAGCATTAAATATTTTTATAGATTTATATTGTTGCATTTTTCTTTTCTGACGCCAGTTGTTACGTTACTTTCTTCCTTCACATTCGCGCAGCGTTTATGGGGATTTAGAGTGAATAATGACACTACTACTTGATGAAGTATCGAAACACACTTTATAGGGCAGTATTGTCAGGACAACTCCAAATCATGTTTCTACAGTCATCGATGAACTACTATAAACACGCTGACATGATTTTTTTTAGCACTTCCCAGTTTTAATCAGATAACACAAAATTAGCAATTGAAAGTTATATTTAAGAAAGGTATATCTTTGCATATATCAAAGCCTCTTTTCCAGGAAATCAGAATTGATGCACTTCTTCCAATATGTAATAATTAAACCATAAACAGAATGCACCTCCGATGACTTTACTGAATTAACTCCGTTGGCTACTGTGAACTATACAGAAGGGTTACAAATACAGATTCTTTTCCCATTTACTGTCATGCAACATAAACTGCTTCGAAATTAATGTAAAATGAACCTATATTTATTCTTTCACATAATGCTTATAAGTTTTAAAAACAGACTATTGATGGTTAATTTTGTTGACTTTTAATAGCACAAAAGCTTGAAGGTCATTATGCGCCAGACGAATGGTGAATAAAATCCAAATTGCACAAACACTGTATCAGACAAATTGTTGAAATGAACCTGTAATGGATGGTTAATTTTGATGAGATTTATTGCAAAAGTAATTTTATGCTTTACATGTAATTTCGGTTAACCGAATGCAGTATTATTCAGTTTAGAAGCATTTTGTATTTTTCTTGCTATTTCATTTTAAGACTAAAGGATATTTATGAAAATATTAATTTAAAGCATTAAATATTATTCATTAATTCATCTGTTATGTATATGCAGCTGTATGTCCAAGCACTTTCTTGGCAATCAAATAGTCTAAAGTGAAGTAAAGCAACCTCTTAGACTACCAAATGAGAACTGTCATCAACACTTTACCGACCGCTAGCAGTTCAACAGCATACGCATGTCCGGCTGGCTGCTCAGCCGCAGATTCTCCTTGTCAGGACAATCTGATAAATCGTCTAAATAAAACTCTCCAGAACCATCTTTTTTCGCTTATCATGAATGGTAAATTTTTTAAAACAATGTGGAAATGTGAGAGTTTACGAAGCAACACATGCGAGCAATGTACCTCAATACTAATAATAAAATGCAGATGATAAAGCAAATCTCAATTGTTTACAGCCGTGGCTACTGATTGATAGGCTATTTTTATGTAGCCTCGAGAAAAAAGCGATTAATAGGTTATCGGTAGGTAGATGGGAAAGGGGAAAAAAAAAAAGGCCGATTAATAGGCTATTGGTTGGTAGGCATCGGCAATTTAAAAAAAAAAAAAACCAATCGGTCGGTAAAGTGTTAACAGATCTCCAGGGTTTCAGGTGTAAGGAGGGTACCGAGATATTCGCACTGCCATTTTAAGGTCACTGCTACCAAGTAATTAAAAGCATCTATAACACTTTTGACCTAATTTCCATTGACCGTCTAAAACATGATATAACATAAAATGAAAGAAGCAGGAAATACCTCAATAATGCACATTATTAAAGATTTATCTACTTAAAATATGTTTTCCTCAAATTTATGACTGTCCAGATTCTACTATTTGGCAACGATTCAGACAATTTTATTCGATGTCTGCATACAGGTTGAAGGCCAAGTCATTTGCTTAACTCCTCTCACTTATACCAATCATAACATCTGAGTGTGGGAAAAAACAGATTAAGCCTATACTCTGACCTCTAAATGACAAAAATTCTTCAATATAAAATAAAGCTTTAAACAATGGAAGAGCATTTTTGAAAATATACAATTAGAATAATTTTAATTTGCATAAAAATATTAATCATCATCAAGAACAACTTCAGCAAGTGATCCGACTAACTGTAAAAATCTAGAATAGAAATGTCACTACTTTCATAAAAATATTTAGACATAATCTTTGCCTATTGAATTTTTATTAGATGTGATAAAAAAATTACAATTCCCATAGATTTTTATGAAATTTACCAGATGATAGTTTTGTAACTTTGAATGTAGATATACTTATTAAATAGCATGTCTTTTTCGTCAAACCTGCAGCACAACATAAATTTAATTGTATTACTTTAGAAATTTTGGAAGTACGTAGAAATGAAAACTCATACTGAGAATGTTCATCACGTATCTAAAGTGACACATGAATTTAAAGGAATGCAACCAAAATTTGATATTTAATTTATTTTCTTTCATACATATTGTAGTTTATCCAACTTTTTGTGCTTGTTCCTTAGCCTTAGCCTTTTCTAGCTTATTGATACGAGCAGCAGACTTAGCACCAAGTATACCACCTCCCCAGTGACGACGAATCTGAAAAATTTATCAAGAGTATTAAACATATGCCTGTCCAGTTATCAGAAACAAAAGAATCAGGTAACTTCAACAATGCTAATTAAAATAACTTGGCATTTTCTTAAACGAAACTGCCATATTACAAAACATGATTTTCTAAATTAAGAAATAGTTTTCCAGTAATACTAAATAAGTTTGATTACTTTGTTTAGAATCTTAACTTTGAAACATTCACATCATTAGAAGATGAATCCCAACACTTACTTTTCAGGTTATATCAAATGATGTTTAAACATTTATGCTCATCCACACAGAATTTTAAAATACATTTTTAAATTCTTACATATTTGCAGAGTTGCCATGCTACCAGAAACTCAAGGAATTTTAATATTTTAGCCAAAACCTGAAAATGGCAAGCAATTTCACACAACAACTACACCAAAAAATGTGATTTTTGTGCCAGTATTGGAACAGAATCACTTTCTTGTTGAATTATGTATTGTGTGAGCAAATTTTCGGCAACTGGTACCGGCACCATTTTTGCAGCACCAATCAGATTTTCTTTGAGAATGGCAAAGCAAGTTTCCAGTAACACCCAGAATAGAGAATGACTCGCATATTCTTGTGAAGTATAAGAAATCTGTGCATGAACAAATGAAAATTCTGCCCCTTGGGTTTTAGAAGCTTTTTCTGTATCATCTCCAATTAAAAGCCTTGCGAGTGAAACTTTGTAATCTCTTACACATTAAATATTTTTTTAGTATATGTTTATTTAGCATTCTATTGTATTTGTTTGTTAAAACAATAAGATTTCATGCAATGCATCTTCAAAGTTAAAAGAAATCCACTGATGCTTTTCGATTCATATTACTGTGCATTATTAAAAAAACCAAACTGAACTGTTAAGCTTTTAAACATCATTGGTAACATGGTTATCAAACTTTGAAACTGCAAAAGAAAATACGATACTTTGTTTCATTAATGCCAAAATATTTATTTGTTCAAACTTGATTTTTTGATAATTCAAATTTAAAATTCTATTTTTAAGACATAAATGGTGGAATTCATAAACAAATGCATTAAATATAATGCTTGCCCCCTAACTTTTTACACATTTTACAAGTAAAAATAAGTAGTTAGTCTGTCTCCCCCTTCGAAATTCCAAAATTTTATTCAACCACGTTGTCATAACCAAGTAAAATTTATAAATCTATTTGTCATTCTGCAGTAACAATTTAAAAACAATAATCAGTGATCTAGACATATCTATCTATATTTGCTGAGATATATTGTACTCTAACTTTTTTTAAACTTTTAAGTAAATAACTATTTTAATGTTAATTCAAATCATCTTAAATGCCTTCTTAATTATTATTAGTTAATACTGCTTTCAAATTGGCACACTTGTGAAACTAATTCTATGAGTATGATGACATACCATCATGAAATTTAGCACATATTTGCACAGCTAATGGCACACAGCATGTCTTGACTAGAATTTTTGAAGTAATACACTTAATATTATAATCCCATTTCTGAAATACAGTTTCAGTAAAATTCACACAATGAAAACTTTTTCGAGACTACATCCATTAATCAGTTTGAAGATCAAATGTTTTCTTGATAATAAATGTGACAAAATATATAACAAAACTACATAAATGGAATACAAAATAGCATACCTCATCAGCACGCTCATTGAAGTTAGTTTTCACAGATTCTACAAGCTTGTTAAGCGTAGTTCTATCCTCACTAAAACAGAGAAGAAATGTTTTATTTAGAAAATTAAGTTTTACTTGTGAATTTAGGCAAAAAATAATTCAATATTCCTGTAAGCATCTTAATGAGTAATTCATTCTCATCAACTTCCAACAAGAAATAAATAATGATAAACATTTGAAACATTTTTTGTAAAGAACAATGTTAAGGGGAAAAACAGCTCTTTTTATCTGAAACGCAACTGCCTACTTTCACCTCTCTGAAATTTTATTGCATAATTCTAGTGCCTCCTCTCAACTGAATCTTTACACCCCCCCCCAAAAAAAGAGGCTATACTCACGAGTTAACTGTACTGAGAGCAAGACAAGTGCATGTTTTCCTTCTCACAACACGTCCAAGCCTTGACTTGTTTTTCACTATGCAATATGGTACACCCATTTTTCGACACAAAGCTGGTAAAAACAGCACCAACTGGAAAAAAAAAAAAAAATTATATAGAATTCGACACTATTTTTTAATGCCAGTCTCTTTTAACTGAAATTAAACAGATACATTCGTACACAGCCTTCCAAAACACACATAGGAAAAGATAAAGATTCATATGAATAAAAAAGCATATAATTTTCATTCAATTAAATATAGAAATTAAATGTGGGCAAGCTTAAAAGTTTTGACCTAATTTTACGCTATGTCCTAATATATAAAATATAATGTTTAATTAAAATAGATGGTGTAATAAAAAAATAGTGTTTACCTATAAGCACAGGGACTTTGATACAGTTTGACAAATTTTATGATTTGGATGGTTTATTTGATTATGGCACAGCACACAAAAAATATGCCTAAGGAGAATGATGCCTTTGTGGAGAACCTTATACGGGAAACTGCCTCATATACATGTCACGCATTAGGAAAATAATTAAAATGCCCATTAGCCAGAATTTGAACCGCAGACCAAGTTTTATGGACTTTTTCCTGGAAAACAATGACTTTTTGTATAATTTTTTTATTACTCGCATACAAATTTTATGTTTCGACTGCTCAAAAAACAATATACTTTTAGCAAGCTTTCTTTAAAAAAAATTGTTTGGTTTATTTTATGACAAAGCACATGAGGATTATCTGATACCTAATTACATGCATACAAATGTTACGTTTCAACTGCTTAAACCTGTGGAAATCTCGTGGTAACTGCTTTGAGAAGATTCAAAGTGTTGTTCCTTTAGCGATTTTGTCACAAAATACTGTACCCGCAGAAGTTTTATCTGACTTTCTTTCAGTGCAGTAAATCCCACAAATATGCATTTTCAAATCAAAAGTTTAAGAAAAAACACAATATTCATACATAACTGATTGAATTAGAAACACAGGGGAAAATATTAAAATGGCAATGCTGACTGTTAAACCGAAGAACGGCCCTGTATATGATTGCCTAGAGAATCACTATGTGTGTGCTGCATTTTGAAACTGGCAATTTCTACTAAGGTGGTTGCAATAATACATACGCACTATGAAGAATTTTTGACCATATTAACTTTCCATATATCCCGGCATATAATGTGTACCCTTTTCATTCCAAAGAAACCTAATATATACAAGTGTGAGGCTTTAAGCATTCAAACAATGGTATATACTGAAATGACAAGCTATAAGGAGAACAAATGCATGTGGGTAAATATTTGGGGGAGTAAATAAAAAGGTGGATTGTATTCAGTGCAAGTAGATACAAAAACATTATTCTAGGTTTTTGAGAAAAGGACAGAATTTGGGGTAATAATGCAGCTCTCCAACCTGAATAAATTAACAGAATTAAGAGTCTGATGTTTCCCCTTGCTGTAGTAATTTGAAGCCATTATTTTGAAATGAACATCCAAAGCTTTAATACATCGCATCTGCTTTATATGAAATACAGTTGATTTAGTGCTCCTTTTAGTATTAAATATGGCTTTGTTAAACACAATGCTGGTTTTAAATGCAAAGCCATTTAATTTGCAGAAAAAAATGGAAATACTGGTGCAGCAAGGGTGTCTGTGAAAGATATACCGGATCATGGCTATTTATTTATGGATCAGAGTTAAAAAAAAAAAAAAAAAAGGATTTGGTGATGTGCTTGAAAATATAACAGTAGATGAGCATGATGTCATGCTCTCAGATAACGAAAATTTTTAGGTTCATAATGTCATTCATTTTAAATAAACAGCATTTAGGTACATATAAAAATCTAATTTTTAATCTATCATTTTTATACCTGGTGTATAATGCCCGTCTGGAAGATTTAAAGTTACTTTTTTTATTAAAAGTTCATGTTATATGCCAGAACATACAGTAGGTACATAACAGTTTATTATTAGTATGTTGACTGTCGCAGCAATTTTTCATGATTTGAAACTCAAAAGCCACTGTCCTAATTACATATTACTCAAAACATTAATAATACATACTAACACAGTCACTAACATATTGAAGATGTCACAACTACTCATAACTGACATACAAAATAAGTTCTTCACAAAACCAACAATGCTCATATTTTAAAGCAGTCAGCAATCTATGCATAGATTACTCAGCAGTAAATCTCATTCTGCAAAGTATGCTGCATTTAACAATATTCAGAACACTCTAAAATGCAGGACGAGTAGAAAATATCCAAAGAGAGGGAGGGGATATTGCTATATTTCATTAACCTTAGACATTCTCAGTACTTAAGAATTTAAAAACAACAATTTGAATTTTAAGTATTCTAAGAAAAAAATATACCTCATTATTAGTATCCACATAATTGGCAATGACAGTCAGAGTATATTAAAAATCAAAATCTGCCAGACAATATAACAAATGAACATTACATCTGCTCTATCACATCTCATTGTTAACAATTAATCAAAAATTTTTATACGTTATCAGCAAAGTACGAAATGCTAGCATTCTATAGAATGCTTGGCATTTTTATGCAAAGTACGAATTATGAGAATTATTATATACTTTACCTAGGAATAACCTCTTAAGCAAAATATGGAAAAAGGTTATGATAAGGTTATTATTTAAAGATTTTTCTTTCTCAAAAATACAAATGTTATTCTGAAAAAATAATGAAAAGTGCCATTAAAGAATTTTTATTTAAAATATATGAAGAAAAATTGAAATTACAAAACAAAATTTTTACATTAAAAAAGAAAATGACTCGTGTTGTAACATGATAGGCTTGAGGGACATTTTGAATTCATTACTATTTCGCGCTAAAACAATTCCTATTTCTGCACTTTCTTTTACAGAAACACTTAATAGATCCTTGACCATTTCCACTGGACTAAGCAACTGCATCTAACCAGAAAATTTCATGGTCAGGAATATCTTCAATTCTAAGCAAGTTCTTATAGAACATAAAACAAACTGTATACAGTTCTTGCACACATTTTTTTTTTTTTTTTTTTTTTTTTAAATTCTACCAGAATGTCCTATGGTAGGTAGAAACTATCCTCCATCACACTCATCACAACTGCCAATATTGCATGAATTATAAAACTTTACCTAGCCATTGCAAATAATATGAAGATGCATTCCATACTTCACCAGTCTGTCATTTAACATTTTATAACACCTAGCCAATGTGTGAAATGTTTAATCATTTCATACACTGCAGGCTACTTTTCTGCATTTTATAAAATGCAGAAAAGTAGCCTGCAGTGTTTTATAAAATGCAGTATTCTATAGAATGCTGGATTTCATACTTTGCAGGTAATATGTATAATAATCAGAGATTTATTAATTTTATTTTCACAAAGACAAAAATATACCTCAATAGGGTCTACATCATTAGAAATAACAACGAGCAAAGCCTTCTTCTGTTCAACAAGGCTTGTTACAGTGTTGACACCCTGTCTCACAACAGGAGCGCGTTTGGTAGGAGTATCTTCTTTTCCTTGAGCACGCAGTTCAGCTCGCTTACGCAGTCTTTCCCTTTTAGCTTGAGGAGTTTCAGGTCGATATTTATCCAAGAGCTTGAATAGCTGTGTAGCTAAATATAGTGACATTTTTTTAATTAAAATAAACTTAATATATAATCCATAAAAAATTTATGAGTTTTTATAAATTACAAATAGTTAACATTTATCAAATATAGAATAAAATTCACCTTTGCAGAAAGGTTTGATAAAATTAAATTTTTCAGTGTTATTATTCTACTAACTGTTGCTGTTAAAAAATATTTGGTCACTGTCAAATGATTAAAAGTCTATGGAGCTTACATATCCAGTAGAAAATTTTGCCATCATTACACCAGCCAGAACAGTGTTGTAAAAAATGAAATGCATCACCACACCAAATTAAATAAGACATGTTAAATATTTTGATACTATATTTCAGGGGCAGTAAAAAATCACCAAACTATTATTGATGCCAGTGATGATGAATTGTGGCGGGTCGTAAAAAATCACCAACTATTATTGATGCCGGTGATGCTTAATTGTGAGTAAAACCTAACACAATTCACAGGTTGTTTCTTACTCGCTTGTAGATTTTTCGCAAAAAATAAATTTTATTTTAATCACCCCCCTTCTGCTGTTTGTGGCTTTGAGGTCCGGATTATAGATAATTCTGGATAATGGACGTCCAGATTACAAACTTTCTACTGTATGAACATTCAAAAGAAATATGAAATATATATGTTAAAGGCCAGTTACAGAGCTAGTGTGGCAGAATTTTTAGAATTTAATGACACACTGAACAACAAAATCTAGAAATGGCAAAACTCAGAATTTAGAGCAGGGATTGGAAGCAGAATTTAGGATCCACAGATAGCATCAAGTGGGAAAACACTCTGTGCATGATGCATTAAGACATATTAGGTGAATCTTTTAAATTATAAATTTTCAATTTCTTTATTAATAAAAAAAAAATCCCTTTCTATAATGCCTGACCATGTGATAAGATTAGAAGCATTTTTGATAACTTCCATGCTTGTATCTAGTGAAAAATAGAGAAAATAAAGGGAAGATAAACATGTTCAGAGGCTAGTATCGGAAATAAAACATTCAAATATTATGCTTTCATTGTTCTTTCAGATGTTCTCCAAAGAGTAAGAAATTCCTTGCCAACTTTATGTAAAATGCATCCATTACGTGTTGATACCATGGAGATATTTTTCACTCTGTCACATATTTCCCGAATCTTCTAGAAGCGTGGGTCTATAAATCTTGTCTTCAAATCCTTCTAAACTTTCTAAGCTACAATGTCTAAAATCCTAAAGAAAAATTATCCCTACAAATTTATAACAGCAAAAAGGTATGAATATTTTGGAACAAAAAAAAGGAGGGAAAAAGTGTAAAATTAATTTTATAGAGAAAACTGATGCATATCAATTACATAGGAAAAACTTACTAGGGATAAAATTAAAAAGAAGACATTTTTTATTAATTACATAGCTAATTTTGCTTCTGCTAAGAGCTGTTTCGTAAATTGTGCATTATACCTTGTTTATTTTTCAGATTCAAAAATATTGTACAAGTTGCCAAAATGAAACTTTACAATAAGACAGCAAAAAATAAAGTTTTATTTTAATGATATTTTTTAAATATAATTTCAATACATTACCATTATTTTAATGAAATTTATCAATGTTACGATGTTTTAAAAAAATTTTCCAAAAATTTTCGGAATTAAAAATTTTCTATAGAAACTGCTTAAAATCACCAAAATGTTGATAAGTTGCCAAATTTGGAATCGTTTAATAAAAGAATTCACATCCTCAAAATGAAAAGTTGTTTAAGAGCTCTTTATTAGAAAAAATGAATTTTGAAATGCTTATGTTTCACTTCTTGCTTAGAAGCTCGAGTATCCCATCATTTATATTAGAAACAAATTATAACTCATGAACCCATTCAAAAGATAACCATATATGCCATTGAATCACCAAAAAATATTCCTCCAAAATGCTAATTCACACTAAAAATGCCAGTCGTAATAACAGGCAGAAATTTCAGATGATTAAGGACTTTTAAGGACCAAAACTCAATTCCAAAAAATCTAAGGATTTTTAAGGACCGTACGAACCCTGTTATAACAATACAGCGAGAAATGTACCATATATTACAGTATACAAAAATTTAATGAAATTATTAACCGATTTAACATTTCTTGAATCTTCATATAAAAATTTTCAAATATCTACAGACTAACAGAACTCACATCAAATGAATTTTATATTCTGACAAGATACAGTTTAATAAGAAAAATTAATCTGAAAATCTTTAGGGAAATTGAATTTGCCTAGTTTTAAAGTTTCATTTATTGCTAAAAAACATTTTCCTTAGCCTCTTGCTAAAACCAAGCTGGCAGCTTTGGCTTATACAAAAATACTATAAGACAACAGATTACTCATAACATAAAGAACATTCAAGGTGAATCTTAGGAATCTTAGCTTACTTTCATCACTTATATAAAGTTGGATGTCTTTACTATCAGTTTAATTATAATGCTCAACTGCTTAGAATTATTCATAGCACAACTGTTTTTTTTTTTTTTTTTTTTTTTTTTTTTTTTTTTTTTTTTTTACCTTACGAAGTTTAACAGAACACTAGTTGATGGTGAAGCAGACTAACATTTGTGAGGCATAAAAATTCTTTCAGTCATTCTTTCTTTTTTTACAGCATGCACTAGAATCACAACAATCAGCAATTCCCTAAAAAAGCTATAAACTAGATATTTTACTATATCAACAAATGACCAATCTGTACATAACTAGTTTTAAATGAAAATATTTTGTACTTAAAATTTGCTCCCCTTTTTAATCACAGAAAACATTCCATGAAATCATCTTTGCTAAACTACTTTGCCATATCCAGTTAATTTACAAAATTACCCCTCTTACTATACAGATGGATCATTTTGCTATTATAGCAAAGCATACTAGGACTATTTATCTTGAAGTGAAGGATGCTTTCATAAAAGACTTTCCAGAAAGTGGCATATACCTATTTTATATATGGAGAAAACAGTGAAAATTATGCATCTATTTAAGTTTACAAAGATCCAACCACAGACCAAACTACTAGTGTTTAGCGACTTTGGCTGTTTCTATTATGAATTACCTTTCAGTAAACAGAAATACATCACAAGAAAAAGTTCATGCATAACATATAATTACCTGTTTGCCTGTCAAGTGCTTGAGTAAACTGATTTATTGGTGGAGGAACTTTTAAACGCTGATATAAAACAGCCCGTTGTCTTTGAAGTCTTATATACTTAGGCCACTTAACAAATCTGCTAAGATCTCTCTTTGGTTGGATATCTTGTCCTGCAGCACAATAAAAAAAGTATACACATAAGTAAGCTTATGACAAAAAAAAATATATACTGTGTGTACCAAGCCTCTTTTGTTGGAATAATTCTGTAAATAACCCATTGGCAACAGCTCCTTGTTTGCCACTAAGGGTAATGGTTTTAACCTTTTAACTCTCAAGTTATTTTGATGATGTGGGTGCATAAATTGTCAATTTTTTATTTTAAAAATAAAAGTTTGCTTTGCAATCAAAAAAAAAGCTGCACACTTTGAACTTTAACCTCTATCCTTTGAAACCTTCATTAAAGTCCTGCCATCTGTTGAATTGAAGCCGAAATAAACTTCTCACACTATGTATTCAGGTATAACAATAGGATGCACTCCAAAAAAAAATTAGCCCGAGTAATGTTTGGACTTGACATTTTGGAATACCAGTGCTGTGCCCGAGGATACTTCGGGCACGACAGTTAAAAAGTTAACGATAGGGTTAAGTTTTGAAATAAAACATGATATTTGATGCACAGTTTAAGTTAAATTTAGCTAATTAAACACATTAAATAAATATTGTAGTCATCTTTAATTTCAATAGATTTTCCCTACAAAGACTTTTTTAAATAACGACCTTCAGAAGCTACTTGTCCAATTCTGTGGGCTGGGTATGTGCACCAGTTGCTGGATTAGCAAAATTTGCAGAATGCTCGTTGTTGTTGACCTGCCAGACCTGTTGACTGCCGTGGGAGGTTATCAGTGATAGGCACTAGACTTGGCAACAGCACCGTAGGGACCACCAAGTAACAAGACCAATAGTAAAAATACATAATTACAGTAAATATAGACACTGATAAAATTTTAAATAATACCATTGTTACCATAATGGCTTGAATAAATCGCAAAAATGGTCTACAGCACCTCGGTGACCCCCATTACAAAAGGTGTATTAAACAAATTTATAAGACTCATTTTTTGTAAATAATATTTCAACCTCATAATCGCATAATAAAAAATTCACGTCGGCACCATGTGCAAACCATGTAAAACATGAAACGCAGTCAAAAAGTTAACAATCTGATGCACATAATACTACATTAAACTGAATATGTCCACCACTCATTTGTCATGAAAGTTGTTACCTTTACCATCTGCTTCTTAATCAGTAATACATAATCTGTTGCTTGCTATAAGTATGTTTTCCATGATGGAAATTATCCCCCTGAGAAGCACCACTACAGACAAGCATCTGTCTCCAACAACTTCCTTAATTCTTAGTGGCATGATTGCCTTTATTTGAACATGCTTTTTTTAATTTCTTGGTATATACTACTTTATAATTTTAAATATTTTTCTTCTTTACTCTCTTTAATGCTGTAAATTCGTTAATGGATAGAAGTTTATGAAAACTGTCTCAAATAAATAATTACACAATCTTAGATATTAAATGCAGTTTCAAAGCATTTGAACAATTATTGCCATTTTTTATAATGTTTATATTAGTGGCTTCTCTATTGAAGTGATTCCATACTTTAAATATCAGCTTAACACACTGCTTAGAAAAAACACGAATTATCATGACTTGTTATTCAAGTACTAGATGTTAATTCATTTTGACTATTCCTGCCAACTTATTAAATTTTTTAAATGGCTTATATTCTGTAATAAAGTACGATAACAATGTTTATTACATAAGCTTTCTACTGATACTCAACAAGCTCCTCAGGACAATCAACTGACAATTATCTGGTAATATGCCAGTATATATTTTGCAGAAAACTGCTGGCAAAGTAAAAAGAAATGCCATGCAAGCACTGCAAACAAGAAAAGACGTAATGCACGTGTGAATTTTGTACGCTACATTCACTAAGGAAACTGTTTTTAAGCATACCATATGGGGGAAAATTGCTATTCATTAAATTCACTGTTTGTTTTTTGACAAAACACTGTACTTTTGACATTTTTAAGGCTCTATTGTAGAATTGGATGCCCCTTCAATTAGTGAAATCTCATTTCTCGTTACCATGATAGTTTTAACTTCTGGTTTTTTTTTAAATGATAATAGATCGATGTTTACATGAACAAAGTTAAGGCAGTATGCAATGCCTAGTTTGTGCAATTCTCTGATTTTTTTTTCAAATGAAAATAGTGTGATGTGTACATGGTCAGAGTTTGTGCAATTCGACTTCCTATTTTGGTTTTATGTAAGGGCCATCTTGAACCTGTGCCTTTTTGGCATCAAAAAGGAATCACCCAAAAAAAAGGAGGCCCCCACTTATAACATTCTACCTTTCTTAATGAGAGAATTACAACATACTGTCAGTTTTTTTACAGCATACAGTCATGACTGTGTTACGAGGAAATAAAATGCTGCTTAATACACTTGCTACCTTAAAAAATACTTTATAAATTTCCATATAGTAAAACAGATCAGAATCAAACTTTAATCAGAAAAATTATACCAAAATTCCTTCAAAAGCGTAATTTGCATCATTTTAAACGTTGTTCTTTAATTCTTTATCACAAAAAAAGATTTTAAAGCAATACTTATTGATGTTTGGCATAGATATTATAGGACATCCCACACTTGTGACTGCAAATAAAACATGGTTTCACAGTTACAGGAGTCAAAAGCAATGACAGAAAACATATCAAATATGAAGACCAAGTCAGCTAAGAAAATAATCATAGTTTTGGAAAATTACAAAGGAATTATTATAGTTAACCATTTAGGCAAATACAAATACTGTAACTGTTATGCAACATTAGTGTACCTTTTGAAAGACATACTACACACAAAAGGTATTTTTCATCAAGGCAATATACTATCCTATAAACTGACCACTACAATGAACACATGAATGTGCTTTGAGTGGATTCTCTTTCATGTCATTCTGTAAACATGCCTCTTGAATGCCCTACTGTTCCAAAACTATGAATTGGCTTAGTAAACTTCCATTTCACATAAAATAATTCCTTATCAGTACTTTGAATTACAAAACCACAATCATTTTCAGAGAATTATTTTTCATTCAAATAAAAATTTTAAACATAAAGAGCTTATATTCTTCTTGCTTAAAATGCATACCTACTGCCAACAGAGCAGCTAGGACCTAGCAGTTCTTCTCTTTATGAAATGAATGTATTTAGGATGATTCTACTTAAATTTTATTGTACCAAGTTATCCTCAAAATCACTATGAATTAAAGATAGGATCATATACTGGGTTCTATTACATAGCTACTGCTTCAATAAAAATACAGGATCCTCAATAAAACACAATTAGTGTGCATATTAAAAGAGTTATCTCTTATCCCTGATAACAAATGATATATATATGCATCTAAAATATTCCCCCCTCCAAAAAAAAGGATTTTGGTTGTTATTTATAATATGCAACTAAGCATACAATGTAGATTTCAAACTCTTAGTTAGGAAGCAAGCTAAAAATAAAAGGTTTGCAATAGCATGGTGTAAAAAAAAATATATATAACCATCCATATTTTAGGATACCCCTTCGATTATTGCCAAATTGTTGTTTTATTAATTGTAACCCAAGTAGTGTAATGTTATGGAAACCCTATTATGATGCAATTAGTTGCGTCATTGTAATACGTTTGACCGTTAGAAAAATATTTGTAAGGGCTTATTTCTGCATTGGATGTCGGTAAGTATGTTGCTTATTTTGTACTGTACACCGTAAAATGGCTTATGTAATGACATTAATCTGAAGGAAATGCACATGGTTGAACATAAAGTTCATTCAAATGGCTTTGTCCATAATAATAGAAATGTCCAGAAAATACTTTTTACTCTTATTTTTGTGAATTTATTTGGTGACGGCAGTATGCATATTCTTGTTCAGATAATTTTAGAAAGTTTTTGGATGCTGTTAAGGAATTTTGTGTGCCACAAGTTGAAGACACAGAAATTCTAAATACAGCAAGTTGATATCTTCTTTCTGTAGTGCATGTACGCAATAATATGCATTTCCTTTTTCGTTATTTCATTGTGTGATTTAAAATGCAATTTATTGAGCTTTCAGCTCTATTTATTATTTATTGAGCTATAAATTTTGTTTTAAATTTTGGTGATAAAGAACTTTGTTCTAACATTATATGTCATCATTCTCTTGATTTTTTTAAGTGAAAATAGACTGATGTAGATGGACAAAGGGAGTGCACAGTATGTACACAGACACCAAGTTTGTACAATTCTTTGACTTGTTATTTTGGCTTCGTGTAGCGGCCATCTTGAAATTTTGCCTTACTGGCCAATCACCAATGGCACCCTAAAATGCATTTTTAGCGCAAAAAAAAAAAAAAAACTGTTTTCAAATACGTTATCCGAAGTGCAGAATGCATGAAATCAGCTGAAAGAAGGGATGTTATTAATTTGTGTGTACGGCAGTGCCATGTGTAGTCCTAAACAAGGCTAAAAGGAGTGTGAAAAAAAAGCCATTTTTGATATATATATATATATACCCACACACAGTCAGCATACTATGGAAAAGCACACACTAATTTTCTTTGTGAATGAAATTTAGTAAAATTAGTAACTTAAAAACAGAAAGTACTTCTAGACCATAATTAATAAGACTGAAGCATATTTTAAGTCTTACTTTGTAACAGAATCTAAAGAGGGTGAGCAATTTTAAAATCTAAACAGGATTCCTTATTAACTAATCAAAACATAAGATAAACATAAAAGAAAAATCTGAGGAAACTTAAGATTAATTTTTGAGGATTCTTGGTGATTTTACATGCAGCAATGAATCCATTCATTTCATAACTATATCTGCATCATTGGTCACTTGCCTCAGGCAGTCTAGCTACTCACCAATTCCAAAATTACGAGGCCGTTTCTCAAACAAAGGATTTACAGTTTTTCTTGCTTCAATTTTTTTTGCAACCAAAGGAGCTGCTGCAACCTTTTTCTTTCCCTTTTTCCCTTTGATCTAAGAACAGAAAAATCTATTAGCTATCTGTTTTACATAATAAAAACATTTTAAGAAACTTGCAACATCTACAAAAACAAACATTCATTAATTCAAAATAATTACACTCTTAAAAGAAAGCACAGAACAGCTTTAGTATTAGTCCTTTTGGATATTTTTGATTTGGGGACAGAAACTTCTCCGGGTGGCTTTGACTGGTAAAAAAAATGGCAAATCGTCAATAAAAACCTATCGAAGAAAAATATATCTAGACCAGCGGTTCTAAAACTTTTGACTAATGCGTACCATCTAAACAAAAATTGAAACCTTCAGTACCACCAGAACAGCTTGAGTATAGTGATTTTTTGGCTTGGCGACCGAAATATGTTGCCAAACCATGGAATAGCATTAAAATTGAAAATACAAGTCAGAAAGCATGTTTTACCCAGAAAAAATTTTAGAAATATATGTTTAAACAGCAAATTTGAAGGTGCATAAGTGAGAGCATATTTTAAGTAGCAATATTGAAAAAAGAAGTTACAATGCACATTTTAACAAGACAAATTTAGAATATATATTTGAACTGTAAAACTGAAATAAATAGAGGCATATTTTTAGCAGTCATACTAATACAAATTTTAAGCTGTAAAATTGAAAATAGGAGCTCAGAATACATGTTTAAATTAATAATATGAAAATAGGAGTTAAGACTACATGTTTAAATTAAAAATAAAGAAAAGTTTGCAAATACACAAGTACATGGAGGCATATTTTAAGCAGTAATATTGAAAATGCAAGTTCTAAGTTGTAAAACTGAAAACAGGAGTTCAGAATACATGTTTAAATTTAAAATAAAGAAAAGAAATCCTGCAAATTTAGTAAAGTTTACAAAATCATGGTAAATTTACAAAGAAATCATATACTGTGCCCAGTTTATGTCCCTTACAATTTCTAGAAATTTGAATAATCAATATTTTGCTCCTTGCAAAATTTAGTGAAAATATAAAAAGCCAAATAAAATTTTAAATCTTTTTGCTAATTAAGTGTTGACAAGGAGCTTTTTACATGCCTCCATGTACTTTCGATTGTTTGTATGGCACCACATTTCTGAATCAACAAAATGCAAACTACGATTTACTTTCAAATGCTCAAAACCCTGCCTACTTAAACAGTCAGCTTTTCTATCAGAATAAATTGTGGGCCCCAGCTTAATCCACTCTTTAATAATCCCGAATAATGTTCTCTCACTCCTATTGTGGACAGCTACCAAAAGTAGTTTGCCAGATTCGTTCTTAACCCTCCCAAAAACCTCCTGCCCCATTATTGTATTTCTGTTTTCCAAATTTGCTCTTGTTTATCTCTACTATCGACTCTACTCTTATATGAGCCCAAATATCACCAAATGTGGCGATATGTGTTCTTTGCTGGTTTTTGGTGCGAGTGCGTGTTGTATGGCAACCCTGTTGATGTTGAAAAATCGGTTAATCTTTGGATTATGGTAACTTGGTGATTTTTTGGCGATTAACCTCGCTACAGCAACCTGCTAGTTTTTTTTGACGCCATTTTGTTTTCCCGAAGTAAAGGCCTTTTTTTTTTTTTTTTACTCAGCATTATTTTCCCAACAATCTGCTAGCCGAATTACACTTATGCTAGAACTTTCATGAAACAAAAGTGCTTGAAGATTAGGTGCGAAATTGGGAGAAAGTGCAGAATTGCCTACTGCTTGCCGAGTGTTTAAGAATTGCACATACACGGTATCCATGTATACATCGACCTATTTTGACCATGTACACTGCTAGGTCTTAGCTAGTAACCTTTATCGCCTTACCAAAATGTCGCCAAACTACCTGTTACCATATTCCAAAGATTAGGCGAAAAATCTTTTGATAGAGTTGTTTAACTGCTCCTTGGTTCATGTGGTGCATGTTTTGAAATGGCCTATGTTGCAATGATAGACATGGTGGCAAGATTTCAGTTGCATATTTTAGATTGTGTGGAAAAGTAAATTTAGTATTAAAAAGTACAATGTTGGAGTTAACGAGTCTTGTTCACGGATATGTTTATGAGGATTGAAGTGTATTTTTGAAATTTCTGTGGGACTTCTAAAACGGATTCTGAAATACAGAGCTATGAGAACTTGGCCGAAAAAGAGCGTTTCTGACGGTTCTAGTGTGGATTTGCAGACAAATGGTTGCTGGTAAAATATATGGCTGTCAGCGGAGTTTAAGATTCAGATTGTGGTTTTTATGTAGTATGTTAACTTTGGAGGAAGTTTTTATCGTTACTTTAGAAATTTTGAATCTCAGACATGTGATATAGCAAAATTGTGGCACTTTAATTCAGAGACGTTATGTGACTGGCGAAATTTTATTCAGGAATGTATTACGGTAAGTGCATTTTATTTTACTATTTTTATTTTGTAGAATGTTATGTTCATTGTTATTTCAGTATGAATTTCTGTTGTTATTGTTGTTTTTTGAATTGTTTGTAATTTAGTTTATTTGGTTGATTTGTATGCAATGCCTACATTGTGCAATTCATAGATGATTTTTTTAAAGTTTAAACAGAATGCTGTGAATGAATAATTTAAATTCCCCGTTAATACTCTCTGAAACTCCTCAACAACACTTAAAACAGATGGCATCTTAATCTAAAAATATAAGGGAATTGGAATAAAATGAAACAGAAAAAAATAATAATAATAATAATAATAAAATTCTATACAACTAGTTCACACAGTTAACTTCTGCTCAAACATAAATTTTTGAAACATTGCCATAAATAAATGGTATTACATTCTTGGATTATTTAAACTTTTCAAGTACTAGTGATGCTATAGTAACTGACAGCTTATGCCAATAGTAAAATCAAGTAATCCTAATCGGTACCATTAAATACCTTGACAGAAAGTACCATGATTTCTTTGAAGCCAATGCCTCTTTTTTAATACTTAATACAATTCGGTACTTGCTTATTATATCTGCCACAAAGATTGAATTGTCAATCAACCAATCTCTCGCCAAAATCTGGCTGCATGTTCTCACATAATCATATATTAGCATTATGCTGTATTTTTGCTTTAACCCATATTCATTTTTGATGAGGTTTCCTAATCCTGCAATGTTAAAAACTGCAAAAGGTATTTAGTCACTTGGTCCAAAACATCATTCATCACTATTAGATTTAGGCAGAGGAGCAGACGTTCATGAAATGGTGTAACAAACAATATGCTTGAAAGTGCTGCAGTTGACTGGAACAATTACATGGGATAAAAATAATAAAGATAAGAATTCTTAAAAAGTATTACGACTTAAGGGTATTATTATATAAACTATACTCAGTGACACAAAAGCCCTAGTGGGCCAATGTTTGCATTGTCTCCAAATCTGCTTTCTTGACTGCAGGCCCCTGGACAAGGAAGGAAAGGATCCAGACGTAATGTAAACCAGTTTGCTATTAGATCCCAATCACATTATGTCTCGGCTATGCGGGACTTAACGTCGAAAGGGACAATTCTCAGACCCCCCCCCATTCCAAGAAACGCACATAGCTAGGTTACCATTCTCACTTAACTAACTACAAAGACTTAAACGCCAAACAGTAATCGATTATAGCTCAAATTGAGATCACGTTATCCTTCAGAAGGAGAATTTTCATCTGATTGGTTGTCTCTACCCGGGACCTGACACAATTTCGGTGAGGTTTGAAAAAATCCCGTGTAGCCGCACATTGCTTCTGAAGCTACGCAGGACTTTGCTTCAGGCAGAGCTCTTTTCTAGGAATCCTCCCGTTTAAACCAGTGCTACCATAATCTTGTTTCTCATAAAAGTCCTATCCAAAAAGGATTGTAGCCATGTGTGATAACCTCTTTACACTGCTAGCAAGCAGAGGGAAAATTCACCCAGGAATTTCCTTCACCGCAATGTGTATAGGAAATTGAAAAACACATTAAGAAACATTCTATCGAAGAATGTTTCTTCTTTTTGCAATAATTTAAACTCTGATTTCCATACCTTTTTTGGCTCAAAATAACTAATCCATTAATTTATTTGGGTAAAAAATTTTCCTTTCTTTTAAAGAAATTTTATACAAACTCTTGATAACATGACCTACGATAACTGAGCTTTTGCAAGATATTTTGCCCTTTAAGTTAGAACAGAGTCACTCCTGTTGTGGGGTTTTCCTTCTTAACAATACATATTCTTTGTCAGAGGTATGTGAGCATATGCCCTTATCAAATGGTCTGCTTCTTGCAGGACTCCGGTGTTTAGCCCCCAAGCTAACTTGTACTCATTTTATCGACACACTCAAGGGATGAAAGGCCGAGTCAACCTTGCCCAGCCCAGGGATGGTGCAGCACTAGTCACTGCACCACCGGACCCTATTATTATATATTTTATTTGTTTTTACACCCACACTTCAGGATTTTTGCAATATTATAGCAGAGATCTTGGCACATATCTAAAATATGGTCGAAGGCCACTATAACAGAGAAGTACTGATAGTTCTATATACAGAATAATCTGATATTCCAGCAAAAACATTTGGCTAAACTGAAGCATCTAGTGCACACTGAATTTTACGATTTCACAGTCAGATGGTTTTAATTTTGTACTCTTATTTTGTTCATTGTTAAGTAATGACTGTATTCTAGCCATCACATTTTTTTATAACTCGAATTAGTAAGAGCGTGAGATATTTCTGTTACAGGTTGCCTGTTTTGAGATGCTACTTTTTATTCTTGAAAAAAATCCCTTTTTCACTACTTCAACTGTTCTTAGGTGACTGAGAAAACTTTTTCGAAATATATTTCTGAAAGGGCCAAATATAAATACAGCACATCCTCTTATTTACTGTGGCAAACTATGCATAAATACATCTAAAACAGTTAAGTTCTGACAACCATGCCTTAAAAAGCTTAACTTTTTAAAAAGGAACTGCCACATATACATGGAAAAAATACAAATCTAGGCCACACTACCAGCATGCAGCAACTTATTCAATTGATTGTGGACAGTTTTAGTACGGAAACACCTGCTGTTAATATTTTACAACAATAGAAGCAATTAGCAAAGGCTAATGCTCGTCTAACAATACTCAGAATTAGTTTTAATGTTCACTATTTCTGCCAAATCTAACTGTTAAAAGCTCAGTTCTTATAGACACTGAGTAAATTTATGTCCTGCTTAGCAACATGACATAAATTAACAGAAACAGCTAATATATCATACAGCCCAGTATACATGTGGCATTGGATGGTTTAGTTGAGATTTTTTTTGTATGACAACCCTTTTTACATATAAACCTTAGCGGGAAATGTAACATTGTGGTTTTTTTTGTTACGTGTTAAATAATGGCATATATAGTTAGTTCTATAAAGTGTGGAGCAATATCAGGCTCATGTTTTAGAATGTATTCAAGCTAGATTTAATTTGAGATGATATTGGAGTTAATGGAAGATTTATTCATGGTTCTCTTCATGCTCACAGAAGTGTATTTCTGCAGTTCTTAGGATTTTTGAAGCCGAAACTGACATGTGAGAAGTGAGGCTCTGATATGAAGATTCAAAAGAAAATTTGTGTTTCTGATTATACGTGCGGATTTGCAGAAAAACTGTCGAGGGTTAAGAAAAATTTTTTGATTATAACGTTTGAAATTTTGAATTGTACAAAGACATCTGATATAGCTAAGTCGTGGATTATACATGTGAAATGTCTGTCCTTACAAGTTTTTGTCTGAAATTAATATTTTGGTTTTATGGGAACTATTTCAAATGGCGAAGTTGTTTTTTTATTGTTTTAATTTTGTAGTTATTTTAAATGTTGCATTGGGTTTTTTTAAGGTACTTTTCCCTTTTGCCAGCGCAAGCGATAGTTGCCAAAAATGGTATAACCGATGTCAAACGGAATATCCTTTAGCTTTTACGCCTATTTTCAAAACAAGTCGCAGCTATTTCTTATCAAGACTGATTGTTTCTCTCAATACTATGTGATTGTACAATCACATAGAATTTTTACCAGATAGTTCAATTTTATGCCCAAGGCCATTCACGGTAATTAAGTCAATAAGGTACACTAGTGAAGTAAATCACTGCACTTTACATAATTTCTGACTAAGCTATTTGAACAAATTGAAATAATTCTTGCATTTAAACTTGTATTCCAAATTAAGATTTAACTTAAAATTATTGTAGATAATAACTGGGACAATTAGATTTTTGTAGCGTAGTTTACATGAAATAAGATCACTTGGGGTCACGTGATATGAAACTGCAAATCAGGATGTTGAACCATGAAAGCTTAGTAAATTCTTAAATTAATGTCTTTTACAAAATTTTAAATATTAAAATGTTTGGAAATTAAAAAATTCTCAGAACTAGCATTTGTTAACATTGTTTATATGTATACTGTATGTTGTCTCCAATAAAGTCTGCCTGGCAAGATTTGCGCCGGTGAAACGGAAAAGTACCTTTTTGAATTTATTTGTGTTGAAATTGTTTGGTATTTATTCTTGTTATTTTTAGTTTAAATGTGAAATTGGGTGCCTCTTCGATTTTCATCAAACTTTGTTCAATTTTGGTGACGAAACCCCATTAATGGTTACCATGACAGTTTTAACTTGGTTTTTGCTTCCTGATTTCTAAAAGTGAAAATAGATCAATGTGTACATGGACAAAGGCAGTGCACACTGCTATGTTTGTGCAAATTTTTCACTTCTTATTCTGGTTGTATGTAGCAGTCATCTTGATATTGTGCTAAAAAACAAGCAGCACCCTTGTGTAAACATTTACGGTATAAATTTATTGTCAAACATTTTTTGTGAGAAACTTGTAGCTTTTACTTACCTAAGCATTTGTTTCTATTTCAGACTTAAAACATTCGCAAAAACGTGGTTTCTGCTCATGCGAAAATTGCATTTTCTCAGATATTTTAGGCAAAGTCTGAAATGTAAACAAAAAATGTTGATAAATAAAATTGGGGAGTTTCTTGCCAAAAATGTTTGGTGACAAATCTTTCACCAACCTGGTCCGTATACGACAGCTGTTTCACATAAACCTTTCAATTTTCTTATAAGGGGGCTAGCTGATGAGGTTAAAAAAAAAAAATCACTGAACTACCGATGTTCAAATTCGGCAAACATTACGAACAAAAATTTAGAATTGAATTACTTATTGAATTGGGTGCCCCTTTGATTTTCAACAAAAAACAAGCAGCACCCTTGTGTAAACATTTACGGTATAAATTTATTGTCAAACATTTTTTGTGAGAAACTTCTAGCTTTTACTTACCTAAGCATTTGTTTCTATTTCAGACTTAAAACATTCGCAAAAACGTGGTTTCTGCTCATGCGAAAATTGCATTTTCTCAGATATTTTAGGCAAAGTCTGAAATGTAAACAAAAAATGTTGATAAATAAAATTGGGGAGTTTCTTGCCAAAAATGTTTGGTGACAAATCTCACCAACCTTGTCCGTATATGACAGCTGTTTCACATAAACTTTTCAATTTTCTTATAAGGGGGCTAGCTGATGAGGTTAAAAAAAAAAAAAAAAATCACTGAACTACCGATATTCAAACTCGGCAAACATTACATACAAAAATTTAGAATTGAATTACTTATTGAGTAAGAATTATATAACATATCAAACATACTATATTACTGCTAGTTCTTCTCAAGAAAGTAACATTTTCTTTTTTTACGATACCGAAAAGTGAAAATTTTGTATTTTACCCTTCCTGAAATTACTTTCAATTTCACCAAACATGAGGCCTTTAACCTGCAACTGCAAAGTAATGCTGTTGTAATTAATTTCACATTGTGTTATATGAATATTATGCTAAACTGCTAAAATACATGATATTTTTTTTTTTTTGTTCCCATGGACAAACTTTATAAAAATTCAGTTTTGGTGATATTTTGTATCTTGCAGTTATTTATGCTGTTATCAAGTGATACGAAATCGGAAAAAATCTTTGCATTGCATATTTGTCTAGCTGAAGATGGATAGTATGTAATGAATAAAATTCTTTGATAATTAGCAGAAATTTGAATTCGGCAAATTCATGCACATGTTCATCATTTATTTATAAAAAATTGTTAACACAAACTTGCATTTTATGATGATTAGACGCCGCAGTTCAAATATTATGCCCCCTTAATTCATAAATCTGCGATTGCATGTAGAAGCTATTTCGCTAAATACAATATTTCAATTAAAATCTAATTAAGCAGAAGTCATATAAGTGCTATTTTATAGCACTAACTGTCTGGACTTTCTTCACAGATACAAAACTAAGGTCGGCGGATACTGAAATAGAGGAATCAACAGCATATTTTCTTCACAGATACAAAACTAAAGTCGGCAGATACTGAAATAGAGGAATCAACAGCATATTTTACATTACTATCAATCTACAAATTTCAATGGGAAAAATATACATTCAATTTACTTACTTTCCTCTGTACCATTTTGAAGGTTAAGTTTCTTAAAAAAACTAAGAAATTTAATTAACGATTAACTTGGATTTCTCCCCTTAGATTTTCCTCAACCACACAACCACGTTGCAACAGCGACAAATATCGGTAGTTTCCTAAGTGTTGCCAACCGTACTTCAATCATGTAATATTTACTTATTTTCTTCTTAATACCAATTTTCAATTTAAAAAAAAATAATGTTATTTGCATTTCATTGGTAATTTTTACAAACCATTATTAGGTTTTATGTAAAATATTATTATGAATTATTAATAGCATAAAATCTTACATTTAAAAGTTGAATATTTTATTGCTGCCTCTTCAGGTATTAATGCGAATATTTAACTGAAAAGGATGAAAATGAAAAATGTTGTACTAATTGAAAACAGGTACAATTTATTCTCAAGAAAAACATACCACTACATTTTAAAAGTGCTGTTGTCTTCCGTACATCAACATTAAAGTCAAATACCAAAATGTATTTAACTTTTTTTAGCTAGCAAAATATTTAAATATATAAATATATTGATTCATATACTATTCCAAAAATTATTAAAATATGTTCAGAGAGTAATGTCAGAAAACCTAAAATTTCAGGTTTCAATCAGGTTTGTGTTAATGCAAGAAGATAGCAAGAAGAAGAACAATTCGTTTACGTCGTCTGTAATCCGGGAAAGTTTATTATTTTAAAGTCCCTTCTTATTTCATTGTTATTCTTTTTCAATTATTGATTGCAAAACTGTTTTTTAACGTGAAGGAATCCCGGGCAGAGCTGTTTAAATTTAAATTGAAGCACACCTTTAAAAAACTCAATTTAACCGAAATTAAACATATAGGAAATGCCCCAAGAATTTCAAGTATTATAGTGTTTCAACTGTGAAACGTTCCAAGTTCATCAAATTAAAAAGTCGAAAACGTGGTCATGTAAAATTTGTAACGAAAAACAATCGCTTGAAAAAAGTAAGACACCATATTTGCGAAAACTATAGCTGTTCTATTTTTGTTTGCATTGCTTAAATTTTTTCAGTCGCACCAGTTAATTTACGTTTTGTTTCGATTTTCATGATATTAATTGATAAATTTTTTTAGAAAATAATTCTGTAAACATATTTATAGCAAATGAAAGAAATAAGCAAAATACTAAAGAAAAGGAAAATGAGTAACAGTTACTAGAAAATAATCATGCTAAATGTAAAAGTTCTCTACTTTTTCTGTAATAACATCACTTTTATAAAATTTCCAGCAAGTTCATCAAGAGCTGAGTCTTCTTCAGGAGTCATTATATCACTCACATTATAGACTTCGGTAACAGTGATTGTATTGCGATTTTGAGGAGGGATATAGTCAATTGATTGTGAGGTATTATGTGACTCTGATATATTTAACAAAATATACCCTAATGACATCATTAGTGTCTCGATGAAATCTGACGTTTTGACTTTAAAGCTGTGATGTTGATTTAATGCATGCTTTTGAGTTTTGCTCCAAAAACTAGCCGTTACATTGCTTACTGCTTCACTATAACTGTGAGCTTTTGTAATTTCATCTGCAAGACAAGTATTTAATTCAGGGTACATATCAATCAGGAGAGTTTCATACAATTTCATTTGGCCAGTTGGTAAAAGTATAGTTTAGGTACCCTTCGCAAAACTTGGCGGTACATGCATACCGATTTTGTGCAATTCTGTGACTTGTTATTTTGGCTTGCGAAGTGGCGATTTTTGGAAAGCCTAAATAACAAGACAAACAATTGCACAAACTTGGTATCCATGTACACGTCAACTTATTTTCACTTCTTTAAAAAAAAAAAATCCCCGAATTGCACCAAAATGGCATTGCGCACTCCTTTGACTTTATCCATGTACACGTCGACATATTTTCACCTAAAAAGTCAAAGGAGCACCAAATTCTACAATAAAGGCAAACAAATAATACATAATCTCAATAAAATGCATTTTAACCCAAACAATAAAATAACATAAAAAAGGAAAAACATGGGTTGATCTTTACATTATGGTAACTTGGCATTTTTTTGGCGAAAATTTGGCGACCAACTCTCCCTACAGCAAGCCCTCTATTTTTTTTTTTTTTTTTTCCCCGCCGCCATTTTGTCTTCACTTCACGAAGTAAAGACATGTTTCTTTTCTTTTATCTACTGAACACTTCTTCCAACAATCTACTAGCCGAATTACACTTATGCTAGAAATTTTATCTAACAAAACTGCTTAATCATGACAAAATTCACTGCAAAATTGGGGAAAAAGTGCACAATACCATACTCCTTACGCGTTTTTCAAAATAACACATACATATAAACCATGTACACGCCGACTTATTTTTACTTAAAAAAACATCCCAGAATTGCACAAAAATGGCATTGCGCACACTCTTCACTATATCCATGTACACTGCTTTTTTCTCATAAATTAGAAAAATTTCACGAAAATACATGACAATTTTCTCAATCTTTAAACCCGGTAAAAAGAACATATATGAAATTACCTGATCGCGAAAAAGTATTTACCCTTTCCAAATATGAACATTTCCACATATAAAATAAATAAAATATCCAAAAACTTTTACCTCTAAATCATCTATTACATTATACACGTCACCAACGAATTCATACCGCAAGCATTACAAAAAACTTAGTATCAAAATATTTAAATTATTTCCATGCACGTTTACTTCAACTAAAACGTATACCAAATTCCTACAAACATAAAAATTCACAAAAACTATCATTTAATTAAAATATCACTAAACCATGTACACGTCGACTTATTTTACTTAAAAAAACATCCCCAGAATTGCACAAAAAATGGCATGCGCACACTCTTCACTATATCCATGTACACTGCTTTTTTTTTCATAAATTAGAAAAATTTCACGAAAATACATGACAATTTTCTCAATCTTTAAACCCGGTAAAAAGAACATATATGAAATTACCTGATCGCGAAAAAGTATTTACCCTTTCCAAATATGAACATTTTCCACATATAAAATAAATAAAATATCCAAAAACTTTTTACCTCTAAATCATCTATTTATTTATAACGTCACCAACGAATTCATACCGCAACATTACAAATACTTAGTGTCAAATATTTAAATTATTTCCATGCACGTTTAACTTCAACTAAACGTATACCAAATTCCTACAAACATAAAATTCACAAAATAACTATCATTTAATTAAAATATAATTAAATTCAAAAACACTACTTAAAATATAAATGAGCACATACATTAAATTAATAAAAATTACCTTACAATCCTAATTACTTTAAACTAAATCATTGCTAATAACAATTTTCCCAATAATACCAAATTCCTTTCTTCCACCTTTCATTTAGAACAATGCATAAAAATAATATCCTCAAATAATTAAAAATACTAACTTACCTAATCTTCTTCAGAATCTTGATTACATGTCCGATAAACTTTTCTTCTGTTTCAGGATCTTTAAAATAATACTATTTCACAGCAAGGTACCAGGTAAAAGAAATAACTTAATAAAGCATCTTTATTTCTATCTCGTACAACCTTAAAAAAACATTTATTACTACCCTTTTCAATACCACTAAATACCCATTTCGAATTCACTTTAGTTAGGGCCATGGGATCCAAAAATTCACGAACACTGTTTCACACCACACAGAATAAAGCCAAATACAAAATTTCCAGACTTTTTCCCGATTTCCCCCCTTTTCCGATTAAAGAACTGTAATTTGTTCATTAATATCACATGACATATCCCATGATCTCTCATTTCCCTCACACAAAATAATGCGTAATTGGAACTGAGTACTGCTCACATTATTACCAAAGTCCCAGGTAGTAACCTTTATCGCCTCCAAAATGTCGCCAAACTACCAGTTACCATATTGTAAAGATCAACCAAAACATGTTATGCATTTAAGCACTACCAAAAGCAAATATTCACTTACCATGATTTTCGAATTCGCTTCGTACACCCAGAGCCACGTAAAAATCAAAATGTCATTCATACTCAAATGACTTTACCAGGTACTCTTTCTGATTGAATGCTTTACATAGTGACCATCTGAACCTTCCTACAAACCCATTCAAATCAATCTAAACTGTTTTTACGTTCGACTAGACCAGCGGTCGGCATCTTGCGGCTCGTGAGCCACATGTGGCTCTTTGGATGTGAAGCTGCGGCTCTTTAGTTCCATACGCAACAATTATTTATTTTATCAAAAAAAAAAAAAAAAAAAAAAAAAAAAAAAGGAAAACTGAAGAAGAGCATCGAGAATTCAATCGGAATTGGACGCAGTCGTTCGCTTTCATTTGAATTTCACTTTTGAATATCCTAAAAGTTTCTTGTATTCAACATTTGCGTCTTCACAAATTTTTTGTAAAGCAGTCAAACAAACCGTAAAACGACTAAAATACAAATAAATTGTCATTAATATTACTTCTACATCAATTGGCATGGCAGATGAGGCTTTATTTATTGCATTTGACAAAATATGTGCATTACTACCTATGCCTATTACTTTCTGTTGAAGTAAATCTTGTAATTTTACATAGACATTATTTACTCCTTTGCATCTTCACTCACCAAAATTTCTGTTTGTATTAATCTGCTGTTAGTGCAACAACTTTTTATATTTCAAATTGTTTATATTTATTACTCTGTATAGTAGTTCGCCAAAATTTCAGCAGTTTCCTCAATGGACTCTTTGTTATAATATCTTACTAGTATTGGATACAATTTTGTTTCATTATGATTTGATGCATCAGATAAAACTGTTACAGATGCTGCATTTTTCAAATCTTCTGCAAGTATATTATCACAGTAATTTTTGAATACTGATTTAATAATGGCCTCACATTTTGTTCTGGCACATGAAAATTTAGGATTGTGAAACTTTTTCAATAATTTTGTTGTACAATTCATACTAAAACTTTGATTATGAATTACTGTATGAAATGAAAATGTTCCCTCCATTACAGCTAACTCTTTTTCCTCTTCAGAGTAATTAGAAATTTAAAAAAAAAATTGGATAAAAGTATAGTTTAGGGTACCCTTGGCAAAACTTGGCGGTACATGGATACCGATTTTCTGCAATTCTTTGACTCGTTATTTTGGCTTGCAAAGTGGCG